GGACCATTGTGGGATATGGGCCTAGTATAAAGCATGCTGTTTCATTACGACCGCTTGATTAGCTCCTGAGGGTGTCATAAAGAACTCCAGGCTCCGGTCGGGACGTGCTTGTTAAAATTAGGGCGACGAAAACTATCCGTACACACAGCTCTTTGTAAGGGGAATGACAATGCAAACACAAATTCCGTACAAAAATAGAACAAAAAACACATACAGTGGAGCGTTGTGGCGAGCCGGATGTGTTAGCACGTTTTTTATTGAATCTCTGTCACCCCCCCGATCGCTCTGTGCTCCATAAAATGCTGGAAAGTGGATTGGGGCGACTATAATGGTGGCTCGATACAGAAATAAACTTGTTTTATTGCTGCAAACAAAGTGATGTGACCTGGAAAGGTTGTATTTTTGCTGGGATAATGACTATATTTTTGACTCAGACCTCAGTGTGAAGTCTAATTACTTGTCTGGGCCCATGGAGCCTCTCTGGTCTCCAGCACACAGTAATGAGAAGGCCAACGGACTTCATTAATTGCGATGTGGCCGTTTAGTGGAACTTTCTTTATGATTTGAATGACTTATTGTTCTCTTAAGCCACTCCAGAGCAAAGATTTAAAACCTAGTCAGTAAACCGTTCAATCAAAACTTCACCAAAAGTGCCAGAAGGTTAAATTAGATATCCTTTTATTTAAGAAAATGTTCTTTGACTTTCACATTTTAAAGGCTTCTATTATCCACACTCTGCAGAACCTAATCAGTTAACCTAATCACTGTGACACTCATTTCTCATAAATATGCAAATACAATACAGTCATATTTTGAGCAATTTCAGGGCAAAGGAAAAACGTGGACAAAGGCATGCCCTCGCCCTCATCTCTTTTGGGTTTTATACTTTTTTGAACAAACTTTTTCTGACTTCTCGACAAAGCCAAATTTTTTTCCCCTTACAAATAAAGTGCCGCTGCCTGACAGTTTCAAAACGTACCAAAGCGCTCTTATCAATCTTTTCCGTTACAACTATGAATTGAAATAGACAAAAGCTATCCACAAAAAGGCCACACAAAAACAGTATTGCTCCATTAAAACTCGGGAATAATGCAATGAATGCGGCACAGAACTTGGTTGCGGCACAGAATAGACACTTGTCCCTGTAGTAAAGGCCTCACTGAGATTGGAACGAGGTCTGTGTGACTTGTTAGTGGAATATGAAAGTGCTTGTAGACAGACAGACAGACAGACAGGGGGATTTGGAGGGGTATTACCGCTTGCTTGGCTCGTGTATTCTGCGGTGTGCATTCCTTCGCGACAGGCCAAACCTTTCTCTTTAGCGCAAAAACTTCACTCAGGGATTTCCAATGCTTTGTGCCAAGCTGTGTGTTCCCCCCCTTTTTTTCCAGTCAGCTGTCTGTTGTCACTTTGAGCGCGATCTGACGCTCCCCGCTGATCTGGAGCAAGGCTTGTGGACTAACAGCTGGGAGATGAGTGGCCAATATACCAACCCTTACCCCTCCCTACCCTACCCTACCCTACCCCTCCAAACACCCTCCTCTCTCCCACCTAGTAGTAGCTTGTTTCTTCGGTCATTATATACATTAGAACCTAGGTCGCATGTTTCTAAAGGTCAAAAAAAAAAAAAAACTTGTAATTTTAGTGCTAAATAATGCCTGACCGAAAGGGGTTTAGTCTGAAATCCAAACTTATACTGCCTAAGCCAGCCATTCCCAAACTCAGTAACACCGAGGCCCCCTTAAAAATCTGACGGGTCTGCGTGGCCCCCCAAAATAATAACCAAGAAGACAACATTAAGAATAGGCTCTTCTGGTTATTTTATTTTGGGGAAATAGCCTCTGCTACAAACATTGTAATACAAAAATGATTACAGTGGATTATTCAAGTCAAATAATGAACACAAATATTTTAATATTACAAACAAAACATTATAAATTTAACATTAAATAATTATATATTTTTTTTATTTTTTTTATGACCTCCCGCGGCCCCCCTGCAGTACCCTCGCGGCCCACCAGGGGGCCGCGGACCCCACTTTGGGAGACACTGGCCTAAGCTATGACAATACGTCCAAAGATGACACATTACTCTGATCCTAATATACCAACGATGGTAACATGTAGCACAAAACTTCAACTTCAAGAGTCAACATTGTGTTATGCATGTACAACAAACATTGAGGACTAAATAACAATGCCGATCTAACCTCACATGCCATGCGTCAGTGCAATATCTTGAACTAATGTCAGACTGTACAATATAGAACCACGTGTGTCACTGTTGCTCTAATGAGTCACTGTGTCCCATACCCCCATTCTGCTAACAGATGTATGCAAAACTTCCAAATGATGCTACTTATGACTCTCTGGCTCTCGACACCTCTCTGGCTCAGGCTCTTCTACCGGGTCGGCCTACTGACAGCAAATAAAAGACGGCGACTGTGAACAGCTGGAGTCCAGTGATCTACCTCAACAAGCGGCTCTCTGGGGGCTTTGTCTCTGTGAGCAGAATTGGTAAAAGGCAGAGAGAGGAGAGGAAAAGGGATACTGTATGTGGCCAGATCAGACTCTAAAGAATGGGAGAGAGGGAGAAGATTTAGTAGCAAAAAACAATGTACGGCGGCAGAGGAAGGAGCTCAGTGGCTGTCTTGTCCCGGTCTCTTCACGGACTAACCAGTTAATCAATAGCGCAGAGAAACACTATTTCAGCTGGTTCAGCGAGCGCACGCCGCAGTGGAGAAATACTCAAAGCGGCTGCTCTTTTGTTTTTGTAGCCTACGCAACGAGAAAGCACTTTTTCTTTGCAATCAACTCGTAAGCAGTGTGTGTCTATGTCTGTGTGTGTGTGTGCGTGTGCGGCAGTGAATGGATAATCTGAATAGGAGTGAGCAGTGGCAGAGCTTTCGCAAACGATCACAGACGTTTTGCTTCAAACTAGTCCAAGACATGAGTGGATAGAGAGTTGCATAAGCTTGTTAATCAGAATTTGAATGTTCATTGTAATTTCAGGGATGAGCCACAAAGACGTACAGATCAGATTTATAGAGAGGTAACCTTGCTAACACTAAGAATATAAGAGTACATTTGCAGAAAACAGGTTAAACGTTTGATATGAAAAATTGGCAGTAAAGAATTTGCTCAAGAAGAAGTGAAACTATAGAGTTATTTGTATAGAACTAAAATAGATTTTGCTTTATGATCAAGATGTGGTCAAGGGAAAATTGTTCAAATGTAGATGTATTTTGTTCCCAATGGTGCATTAACCTGTTTTTGCAAATGAACTATTCATAAACTGCTAAACTATATGTTTAGCAGTACTTCCAATAACATCCATGGAGATAAGCAGGTTACTCCAACAAACACACACAGATAATGCTGTACATTGGGGTCAGTTTCACTTGTCCAGTTGGTAGGTCCAGGTTGGCAAATGCACCAATGGTTGTCCAAAATCTCTCTGCTTTCTTGCATTGAAATATTAACAACAAGAAACCAAGAAAAGTTTCTCTCAAGTCATTATTCTTAACCGTGCACTAAACTGAACAATTCTTCATATTTTAAAAGATTAAAATCTCTTTCCATAGTTTATGAAGTAGAACTATTTTAGCTATTGACCTGCTTTCTTATCAAATCCTTCCCAGCCTTTGGGAAAACATTGCTCCGTCTACAGAATGCATTCCATCCCTCTTTCACCAAAGCTGGAATTACTGATTCCTCTGAGAGTCAAAGTTATGTGACACAGTTACTTTTAAATCAAAGCTGAAGACAGGTGGAACTTACTGCACAGGGGCAGTGATGTGAACGGGGCCCCATGCACAGAAATAGCAACATACAGTGCAATGTCCGTGCAGCTCGTTCTTATTTGTCCCGTACATATGAGTTTTAATATTGTGTGCGTGTGGGAATGATTTTGAAAGATGTTTCCAGATGCTCCCAGCTGGCTGTTGCCCAGTGAGGCTAATACACTTCTGCCTGCCTAATTAGAGCCCACACAAACACTCCCCCCTCCCTTTTCTCAACTCCCATGTCCCGCTGTTTCAATGGCTTTATGGTAGGAAGAACATATGCCCCCTGTGTTTTCAGCAGGACACACATGCAGACAGCTAAGCAAACAACCAGGGGCTTAATTACTTCATGAGGGAGGCCACTGCGTAGGGCCACTCGTGAGTCACAACACGAGTCTGTAACATCATGCCAAAAGACTGGGAAACAAAGTATGCTGGAGATTAAACCTTTTTATCCTGGTTTTGGCGAGAGAGAGAGCAGCGAATGACGGTCTTGAAATTCTGAAAAAATGAACAAAAATGATGAAAAATGTGTGGATGTTTGACAGACAGGATGCATCCCTCGTCATTAGTGTCAGTAGCGTATGTGACATGAGTCTAGGTACAACATGATGAGCTGTTCCCTTGTTAACAGCCACACCGCTGATTCAGATGCCATTTATGTGTCCGGATCTGCCTGTCTCTCTCAGCCTTTTGTTCTGCTGTCGAAGCGAACGCTGCGGTCCAGTAGGAGCGCTCACACAAGACACTCGGGCTGCTCCTGTCAGCGCCGACATGGTTTAGTATTATGTTCCCAACACAAATGTGTTCTTTTCAATAGCACCAAAGACAAAACAGAAAAAGTTACTCTTGACGAACTAGGTTTAGTTGTGCCTGAGTGTAAGATAAGTCGGACTTTATTAGCTAAAAAGAAAGCTCTAATGTCAATCATTCAACCCTCACATATTGTACATGGTTTTAGTGGCGGGGGAAACTGGAGCGCCCGGAGTAAACCTATGCAGACCCAGGGATAACATGCAAACCCCATCTAGAGGTAGAATCAAACCTAGAACCTGCTAAGAAGCACGAGCGCGCTAACCACTGCACCACCGTCTTAACGGGACAAATCCTTTTCATTGAAGTTCTACAAAAAACACCTTAAAAACATAATTGATGAGGGGCCACTGTTGTGTTTGAACAGAATGTGAGGCCTGCTCACAAAGCACAGTTAAAGGTTATGAGAGCCTCAGAACACAGTGGCTGTGCCAAACGAGGACAGAGCAGGAGGAGGTTCTGCCAGTGGAGTAACACAGAAACAGATCCCAAGGTCAGTGATCTGGGGACTGTCGTGCACCGGGAAGAGCGAACGCGTGGACAGATGTCAGGAGTGATGAGCGTCAGGCGTGACAAGCTCCGGCTTGGCTATCACTTACTACTTGGAGCCTGCAGTCGGGTCAGTGCCAAGACAATGCCATTGCACCGTGTGATGATCATCGCCTCCGGAGGTTTAGCAAAATGGCTGCCGTCATGCCAACGCATTATTACGAGTCACTGCCTCTGCCTTTTTTTCCTCAAAGGAAGTGCCATATGTGAGTGACAGCGGGGGCCTTAGCCATTTATTTCAAATGCCGTAAACAAAGCTGCCATTTTGCATTTTGAACATGAAGAGGCTTGTAAATTACCAGCACCAAGGCTGTTTGTTGTCACAAGAGATATTACCGCAGTGTGATCTATATCCTTTCTTCATCTCCATTTATCTAGTTGAATCCATGCTCTTTTATACACATCACTCAGCAGCAGGACAAAATAAATCCTCATTTTCACATCTCAAAGTAGGCTGGACAAAAATCCAATACTCTGGGGAGTGCTTGGTCTTGGTTTAAGCACAACAGCCCACGAGAGGAGAAGAATTGGAAAAAAAATAAGTCAATACTAAGCCATTTATTATCATATGCTCTGGCCATTGATGATCTGTCAAAGCATGCCTTTCGGAGTCTGGACTGTGTTCCAAAATCATCTTCCAAAGAACTTTCTCTACATCCAAAACAAATAATGAATAACTCACAAATCGATACAGTCTGCGTTATTGAGCTTCCACGCTCGAGTTGCGTCTGGCACACGGCCAACTTGTTTTTCATTTGCCAAATCTACTGCGTTGAATCAAGTGCAGCAACAAAAGACATCACATGTTTTGTTGCGTAAGCGCCGGTTTTGACAAGAGATAGAATATCACATCATTGTTTTCAGAGACGCTGGTGCCAGTTTCTACAGTGAGAAAGTCAAATCCTGTCTGAGAGGCACTTAATTGTTGAATATACAGAAGCACAGCAGTGTGAATCCAAAACATCCGGCACACTTGATCAGCGCCTCTCAATGGGTCTTTAGTTCTGTGCTGGAATCAGCCTTGGCAGTGGTGCTTCCACTCGGGTCACTCCCCGCTGTTCTACTGAGTGAGGCTGAATCAAATCATCGCAGGGAGACGTGAGAGCTCGCCAGGGAGGGGTCAACCACTCTGGCCCACTCTGGGAGGCCAGGCCCCATCTTCCTGGAACAACACAAGCTAAAAATGTCCTCAATCAGCAGGATGCTAACCGAGCTAAGCTTAGAACGTTTGACTGACAAGCTGCAGCAACATTTTGTGCAGTGGATACAAAGCTTGCTTTCAAAGACAAACGATGGGAACATAAAACAGAGACTATGTATAAGGCAAAGAGGAAAAGGTCTGAGGCACTGACTTAACTTAAAGATCCTTTATTTTGGAAGGGACAGACCTATGTCCCTTCCACAACAAAGGATTTTTAAGTTAAGTCAGAGTGCCTCAGACCTTCTCCTCTTTGCTTTCTACAATATTTTTCCACGGATCCTCAAAAAGCTTGCTTCTCCATCATGCTAAAGTTGGAGATTTTAAGACTTCTTTCCTTGTTTTGCTAAGATAGAGATTTTATACTGCTTCTGTTTATGCTATAGTTAGAGATTCTATTTTATTTTATTATAAAGTTATTATTCATTTATCTGATGCTGTTCTGTAACTGGACGAATAAAGGATATCTTAATCTATTTTTTTGTATCGTATGCCCATATGCACTCACTCCTCTTGTGTTTCAGCTACTACTGTATGTATATTTTGAAAACAACAGCACGAATAGTTTTGGAAAAATACGTCTATGTTGATTTTATATTAGCTCCAGCTCAACTGTCTGTCACTCGGCTCCTGTGTGACCCACATGCAGGCCCCAGACACTGCAGAGTCTGGGGCCTCTTGGGTCGTGGCCTCGCTGTCACATGACGATGCCTGAGAAAGTAGCATTGATTACCAATGATCATTAAGGAATAGAGAGAGCACTTTCTGCATGAACACTATTTGTTGTTTCGGTCGAAGCCACATACAATCGGGATGATCGTTCCATTGGTTTTCCTGTTTTTTTTGCAATTTAAAAACAATTAAATCTGATATGGCAATGGAGGTGATGAAAATATACAGGACAACAATGGCAGTGATCTATATATATCTTTATTACTTCATTCTCCCCAGTTGAGTTGTTCATGCAATTTTGTCAGGTAATGAATACATGCTTTTAAATCTAATCTCGAACAATAAAACGCTTTTTGATTTAACTTGCATTTGATCTGTGGGTCAAAAGTGTTACCTAGGTGTGTGTGTTACCTGTGTGCTGATCTGAATGTTGGAAAGTTGGTTTAAAATGATTGAATCTTCATCTCAATAGCAAAAGGACTTATTCCACTGCGCTACAGTATTGTGTTAGCGCAGTTGTTCATAATAGGAACGTTTCAGACTTGATTTTGATACTAAGAATGGACTCAATATTGATACCGTGGAAATGATTCAAAAAGCTGTTTTCTAATCTCAAACTTAATATCGCTTTCTTGATATCCATGAAGAGGTGAGTCTTGTCACAGCAAGAATTAAGTTTTAAGAACACAATTAATCATCCATTATAAACCATACTGAGCAACAAGATGGCAAGAAGTGGACCCCATCAGAACGGTTGCGCAATTCACCTTTTAGTCAGAATAAAATTACATGTTACCCATTTCAAACGTACACAAGCATAAGACATGACAAAAAAATGGCATTTATAAACATGCATTTTTGTACTATTGTATCTCCGTATGAGTTTTTTGCGTCGACTATCTATGCTGGTTTAAGAATGAATTGATATTTGAACTCTTTTGATATCCCTGGTCTTTACTGTGGCTGGATCCAATGCCTCGGTGAAGGTAAATATCTGAAACTTTTTGGAAAGCCTGCGATAGTAGATACTGAAATCAGCCAACACAGCCATGATAAAAAGATGCTGGCCCTTTGCTCCCACTCTCCTGCCTCTGCTCTTCTGGACTTGTTAGAAATTTGCCTGAAGATGGAGATACGGCAAAGGCTGTGGACGGGGCTGTTATCGCGTCTCTGCATTAATAAGATGACCCAGTGGCTTGTGTCCCGGGGTTTGCCTGGTGTGTTATCATGCTGTGAGACAATTTATAATGGAGCAACACAAGCAATATGGCTCCACTGTGACAGGGGGTAAAACGCCTCCAAATGCAATGCGCTGCACACACACAGTCGTCCGTGGTTAATCGAAAATAATGTCAGGCAGTTTAAAGCCTTGACCGGCACTGGGAAGAAGAGATGGAATTTGAATGTACATCTTGGTGCTGTAAGACTCCCACAAAACAGCTGCATGAATCACCAACAACCCCCGGGTAAATGGGGTTTTTGTAACTTTTAGATTGACAATTGGAGGCTTTCTATTGTACATGATGAGTAATTGATCCATATATAACGCCAATATAAAAAGAAAAAAATAAGTAAGGGTAATTATCTCAATTAAACAACTGCATATTGAATTTTACTCTCAACAATGAACTAAAAACGCAATTATTAATAACAATAACAATGGCTCATACATTTTTGCCTTTAGTTCTTTTTCTGTATTCATTTTGTTCCATAAGAGTTTAACAAAAATGATAACCAAACCCATATTCAATAAAAAAGTCTATAAGATATATAAAAATTGGCATTGGCAAACTCATGACAGTTAATCTCAAAATGGCTTAAAACTGGGGTATGGGTTACATTTTCATGAGGACATTTCCTGTTGTGACCAAAATGCTTTTAACTATAGTTTTACATCTGCAAAGCAACAGTTTGTGATTAAAGGTCAAATACAGTTATTCAAAAGTTCAATGCAGAGTTCTAAAATGGAATCCCTCCATGTTTACGTCTCTAAATTCAGAGACAAAGAGAGCATGAGAAATCCAGTTATCTCACAGTTTATCAAATTATTAAAAAAGACAAAGAGATGGATACTTTACTGGAATGGGGGACAGCGACTTATATGTCATACACCCCATGTCCAACCAAGAAATGAACAGTGTTTTATTGAAATTAATTAATTAGCCTGAAAATGGGCTTTAACAGTTCCCTCAGCAATGAATGGAACATACAAGACAGAGCAATAATAATTTCACGAAAAACAAGCAGATGACAAACCCACGAACAGAAGCTACCAATAAAATTAGACTGCCAAATCATAAGTGCCTTCCTTAACATTATGGAGATTTGGCGGCCATTTACATGTCCCTAGTGGGGGCAGTAAATACACAGGAGTAAAGCCAGAGAGGGGGAGGCAGATACGACTCGACCTGCGGAGCCACTGGGACCTGAGGGAGTGGTAAATCTCTTCAGTGCCTTTTTCATTGACTCAAGTCCATCTCATCAAGCATTCTCTCTGTTGCTTCAGCGGCGCTCCCTCGGTGCGTATATAGCTTTTAAAATCGACATAGATCAGGAAGCATTTGTGCCCCTTATCTGGGAGTGTAATTGATGGGTAAATCTAATAAGTAGTGTAAGTATCCAATCAACTAGACACGGTCGGAATATTCAGAGTGATTACCAATTTGAGTTTATTGTTTTTAATATTTTTTATTGGATCAGGTATTGGGGCTGAGGAGCGCAGGGACTGGCCTCCTGCTGGTGCCCGGAGGGAGGCTGCATTTCAGATTTATGCTGCTGAAATCTTTGTGAAAATGTGAGACCGGATTCTTCTCTGACGATGTTCAAATACAGATTAAAAGCAGTTCTGTTTAGCTGTGCATACAACTGAGGGATTTTATACTCAGTTTACTATTTTTAATGTGCTGTGATCATTTATGATTTGAATGCCTTGTGTGAGTTGCAGTATGTATGAATTGTGCTATACATATAAACTTGCCTTGCCTTCTGTGATACATTCTGTGGTATTAACATGTTATCCTGATTGGGATTAGACCATTTACTGTCTTGAGCTCTGGAACATAATAATAATAGGCTTAGCTCCTACCTTTAAAACAGATTATTACCAGTCTCCACATGCATTTTGGCCTCTGTCTCATCTGTAGATCAGCTTTTCCAGATGAAAAGTACAGATGTTAAGTATACTTCTATCTCTGTGCAGAACTTTTGAAACTTGTTTCATAAATTTTGCTATATACGTACATAAAGTGGATTGGATTCTGTGAAAATAAGTGAAACCACACAATTTGACATAGGTTGTGTGCACTTCAAATGAAATTGCTTCAGTATAGATGGAGATCTGACATGACAAAGTTGAATCGGTGCTTTCCCTAAATTCTATAGTTCTATAGTTCACATATTCCTTATAAACATAATTAAAATAACTTTTTTCAAAGAGCTGTGGAGGCACGACGCACAGAAGTATTTGGTGATAAAAGCAGGGAGTCGCTTAGGAAAGAGCATTCAACATATCAAAATGACTAAAGGCACAGATGATGTATAATCACCGACTCATGCCCCACAGTTTCATGTTATTTATTTGACTCGCTCATTAGGCTCATGTACTTTTGGTTCCTCAGCTGCAAGCGCAAACAGAATAACTTCCTATAAGGCATAAGAGGAAGAAATCAGCTGTATACAAATTTTCCCTTTCACACGCCGCACTCGTTTTTGTGCGCGGGTGACGTCGACTCCCTTAATGAAGACGGCGTGGCTCAGCGCTGCCGAGTTCTGCACAAGCAGTCTAAAGATTTTATTTCACTGCTTCCACAGCTTGCCTTATTTCACTATGGCTTAATGAGAGTCGTTTGGAATAATAGGCTTCCATTGAACGGAGGCATCTGCATCCACACAGCACTAAATGAGTGAGCTAATTTCCAAAGATAATCACCTCTCCTGCTGGTTTTATGTGGAGATGCTGTATATTTTTTAGCCAGGGATTTAATGAAGTCAAAAATTACCTTTTCCTTATGGCAGGGTCTGTTTAGGATGAATGTGTCACTATCATTTGCTTTCAATTCTATACAAAAGCAAGGTGTACTGGTTTCAAGCTAAATAGAGTTGCCATAATAGCAGAGGCCAGACGCATTGAACACTGCATTTGCAACAATAAAATTAGGTTTCTGAATGGAAAAAGTAAATAAGTGATCAAACAGCGTAACAGCAAATGCACTTCCATAATGAATATGGCTTGGAGTTGTGCGCTACAGCTGCCATAAGATTCATTACAGCTCTATATAGCTATCTAAACTTTCTCAGAGCACATCTGAAGCTTTGCAGAAGACATAAAAGGCAGAACAAACGCTAGGTTCTTTGACCAAACAAGTGAGATTTCTGAAGTTGTCGGTAATGAAGTCCACCGGGACACAAAGAGGCTCAATTAAAGGGCGAAGAGAAAGCTCGTTTGCACTGTCTGATCAGGCGTTTTGCTTCCACGGCATTGTCCCGGGGCCGATGCGTTGTCACTGAGGCCTGAAGCGGTGAGGAAACAGAGGTTGCAGATGGTGGAAGTTAAAACCGTGATCGCTTTAGGCATACACAGGTCTACATGGCTTAGCATAGGACATAGAGGTCAGAATAACACTTTCTCAACCGCTCAGTGTTGGGGAGTCACAAGTATATACGTGTTCAGAATTCTAGCCATTTCTACATAGTATTCAGAATATAATCAATAAACTTAAATAGACAGAAAACATTGTGGTATTTATTGGATTTTGTTATTGAAAGGGCATCTTAAAGAATGTTGTCAAAACTTCCCTTAAATTGGTGCATGGCGTTTTATTTTACCAAATCGTCCCACCAACAGGAGGGTATTGTATTCATCTGTTTGTGTTTGTATGTGTGTGTGTGTATGTGTGTGTGTGTATGTGTGTGTCTATATAGCCAGGATTGGACAGACACTGCTGGGTGGACTGAGCTGAAATTTGGTGTGTTTTAAATATTCAATAATCTGGCTGATCAGTGCACGTATGTGTAACAGAAAACGTGAAAACAAATATTTTCTAA